GGTCAAGCTCTCTTTTGCAGTTTGTACTTGCGGTGAGATTTTGGGCAGCAGCTGTCATATAGGCGGTACACTTTGCGACATCAACGTCACATGTTGCGTCGAGAACCTTGACGATGCTCACAAGCTCCTTCTGAGCGTTGAAGAATGAAGTAGAAGTCTGTTGCACGAGAAGTAATTAGATTTGAAGCTTGCAAGACCAAGACACGCAACTCTGTATTTAAAGTCCATGAACCGAGAACAATATACCTGAATAAGCATGGAAATAGGATAGCAACTCTTGAAGGTAGGATCCGAGAGTAATGCAGCGATGAACTTTGGGCACGAATCGTCGCTACCAGGAACTTGGAAAGCGTTAGGGACAGGGTTATCGAAGGGCGATGGTAAGGGAGACGCGGCAGTGTCGGCAGTTGATGTCTGGTTCGATCTCGTTGCGGTAGCGGCTGAGCGCTTGTCGGACTGAGCCGTTTGTATTGACGAGTATTCGCCGTTACTGGCCCTCTTCCCAAGCCTTCTCGATATTCTTTCAGTAGAAGACACTGCAGCTGGCGGTGGCATTGCCAATGACGGCTCTGGATGATCTAGAGTCGGCAGCAACGACGCCGGCGCCCATGTCTTTGATGTAGATAAATCCTTCCCTGCGGCAGCAGGTGAGGCAAATGCGGCAGCCAAGGCAAGTATGACGGTAGGAAATATTATTCGAGGCGGTATGAACCGATAATTTCGCCTAGACTTTTGCTCCATGTGGAATATGGTTGAATCCATTTTCGGTGATTTTTTCGAGACATTCGACATATTGTTCCAGTAGTGCTACAGAGATCGGAAGCGCCGCAGAAGCTCAAGCGTGATACGCCCCAGGCTTCGCGGAGTTGCGTATCAACAAACAGCCAGACACGATATTAATGACGTGCCCAGAAGAATAAAGACCAGCCGGCTTCCTGCAGTCGAAGATGCATCAGTGTTTCCGTAGTTCTCGACCTTGGCGTTCTAGCCGGGGTACTTCAAGAAATGCGGCCGTTTAGGAAACCATGGAGGCGATATCTTGGAAACAAAGAGCCGGGTTGACTTGGACAAGTTTGCGTTGTCAGTGGCTTCGAGTATTTCAAGACACTGGGAAGGCTTCCAACAATCTACCAGCTGAAACAACTTGGGAAAACGAGCGACAGTTCAAGGCGGTCGGCGCAAAGGGAGTGCTCAATCGCTTGACAAAGAGTGGTAAGCACCGAGACTTGACGAAAAACAACAAGATTCGACGCGAATGGCGAGAGAGTGCAACGATTGTTTGGATGATTTGTGTCGTGGTCGCGCCCTCCGTCGCCCGTACGACGAGAGAACTAGATAGAGTGTTGCGCTGCAGGTCCAATGCCGGCCGTGTTGTACGCAGCTCGCGAATATAAGGATGATCCGCCAATATGCGTTTATCTTCCAGACTTCCTGGGGGTTCTTTACAAGGCCAGTGATCGTCGAGACGGTGTCTGTAGGGCAGGCGACCTTCTGGAGAGAGTCGAAGCTGGATGAAAGGAGCAAAGATGAGCAGCACCGGGCAAGATTGGAGACATCCGGCGCGTGGATACAGCGTACTCCGTAATGCAGGCCTAAACAGGCGAGCTGTCGAGCGGGTCCTCGGATAGCGAGCGCGTTGGACCTTGGACAGCACAGGCACAGGCACAGGCACAGGGACCTGGGACTTGCGGACTCAGGTACGGGCGTTATTTCGCGATAATACTTATATTAGTAGGCTGTGCCTGGTGGGCAAACGTAAAAAAGTGGATGGCGCCTTGCAGGGGGGGAGATGCTGCTCCCCGTTAGCGTGGATACATGTACTTGAGTACATTGTTGTCGGGCGGGCTTGATGCTGTGGATTTTACCTGAGGGCGGCGACATGGGGGTACATGAATGCGGCAGCCAGGTGCCTGGGCAATTATTGATTTTTACTCCGTAAAGTAGCTGCGAATGGAGCTACTTAGACGCATGTACAATGCATGTACACTGCCTGCTTCGGAGACGACAAAGGTGAGGGTGACTGCATCGGCCTTCTGTCAGTCTCACAACTGATGGCGTCGGTTGGGATAACTTATCTGCGCTGCCGCTTGCAAGCGTTGGACAGTCAACGGTTTGCGGCCATCCGGCACTGTCATCTTTGCATTGCAAAAGCGTGACGATTGTTTTCGGGCGTTGAATTGATCTTCTGGGGTGGGTGAGAGGTGAGTGAGAGGTGAGAAGGTGTCCTTCCTGGTACTTGTCGCTACATGGAAGCCACACAGGGTCTTGGCAGAGTCGCCCATTCAGGACGGTGGCATGGAGGGCAGTAGCCATATCCGGACAACATAATCTGTATGTAATGGTTGGTATTGGATTGAATTGATGGCAGGGACATCTCAAATCACTAGCGATGATTTGGAACCCCGTGGACAGGACGGAGTGTCTTTGTGCTGGAGTTTGGGCAGCGTTTTGGAACGGGATCGAGACCGACCACCTGAGGAACGTCTGGTTTCATTCAACTCGATTGTAATCCGTACTTGCCTTCTTTTTAGCTTCTGGCCAACACGATTGCTCTTTCCATAAAACTGCCCAATGCTCGATGCCCAATGCAAAATGGACCGCGGCCTCCTCGATCGACACGAGGCTCGCATTCGTTTTCTTTCATCAAATCCATCAAATTCACCAAGCGACCCTTGCTCACGATTATTGGATTCTGAAGCCACCCAACTACTCCGTACCTTGGTGTACATACAACGCGTTTATGTACTACTTAGTTGTTTGAACCGAGTGCTCCATAATTCACAACTGTCAAGTTGCATCCACGCAGCGCCCATCTAATATTCCAGACGCCGCACGCCACGCCTACCGTCGCCAAGTAGTATCCCTTGTTTTGGAACCTTTGGCATTGGCCATTCTCATTCTGCCTGGCCGCGCTTTATCCACCGCTCATCCAACGGCACATCCAACAGCTAGTATGGCATCGTCTTGCGTCATCCGGTGTCATGCCGGTTTCCCAGTTGAGTCCCTGCCGCCGACTCCATCTCGGGGCCAATATGACATGTCTCCTTGCAGCCCGGTTTATGTATCTATGCGTCCGGTCGGCTTCTTTGATACCCTGGGCCTCGACCTGGTCTCCCGCATGGCACCCAATTGTTGTTTCCCGTTCCCTGCCAAGACTCGGTGGCTGCTCTGCCGGACCAGAAAGGAAATGTCACTTTGCGTTCGCTCTCTGTTTCCGAGCCGAGTCAGTCTCCGGGTCTGGTCGTTGCTGTCTCTGGCCACATGGCGATGATAATGGTCAATTTTGCCATTCTGCTTCTCAAGCCGCAGTACATATGTATCTTGGTCATGCTGGTCAACACCCATGCATGCATATTTGGGCACACACAAACGAGCAGCCAAGCAATGGACTAGATTAGCGACGCTAGCATTCACGCACCTTGCGCCAGAAACGGAGTCGGCTGCCGATGCAGAGGACCTCCCAAAGAAAGAAACCATCAGGGCTTGAGGGCAAAGCAAACTCATAATTTGGACAAACACATCGTTCAGCTGTCATGATTTGAACCAAGAAAAAGACTGGCTTGCAGGCGGACCTTGCTGAATCAAGGCCATGACGCAAGATGGCACAAGCTTGACGGACTACGTACCTCATTATCCTGCTGTCATGGTTCCAGGTCAAGGCGGTTCGCTCGCACGACGTATCCTCTGTCTCATCGACCATCACTCTCCAGCACGCCGCTGCCAGAGCCGAACTGCCTTTTTAAATGGAGAGCGTTTTGAGCCAGTTTTGCTCGGCAATGTCTCACTTATTCCTGGCATTACTACTACTCCGTAGTCAAGTGCTTCGACCCTCTCGGCAGCTTAGGCAAAGTGAAGCTCGCAACTACAATGTTTCACCATGCCCCGGCCCATCGTATCTGTGCATCTCCCGCTGCCACTGGCCAATTCCAGGATTGTTCTCGCGTCAATTCGTCCGTCGTTGTTTATTGGCACAATATTCACATGCATTCCCGGGTCTCTTGCTCATCCTTGTCAATGTCTACTGCTCCATCACGACACGTTTCCAGAAACGTGTGCGATATTAAGGGTGACACAACAGGACCCATCTATCAAGTTCATGTTAGTATATTGTTTCGTTTTCCCCTCGGATTCAATTGATCATGTCTGTAGACAGCAAAACTTTCCTGTGCCTTCGAAAACGAATGGTTACACATGTAAACTAGCCCCCCCCCCCCTTTTTTTTTTTAACTCTTTAGAGCCTGCCCCTTTATGTCTTTTATTACAACTTTACCTCTCGATCCTCCGTACAATAGCCACGCTCTCGGAAAGAAATACAAAAGCCTGCTCCTCTCGTCGACAGCCTCGTACGTGGCGCTTACGTCGAACAACGTGGCGGCGGGTAAACCAGGCGTGCTGTGACGAACGCACGAACGGCCCGATCTTAGACGAGACTTAGTTGGGTCAGAGCGCGCACGCCCAACCCCTGAATAATGAATAGCCGGAAGCATCACACGATAAACCATGCCTCGGAAATGAATACGGATAAAAATCGACAGTCGCTTGGGATTATTCCAGGCTATCCATCCAGACATGGGTCACATCTCCGCACCGGTCGCTTTAGACGACAAAAAATTGTTTCATTTTATTTCTACTTCTGCCATTAACCTTTGAGCACAAACAGAACTCCAACTTTCTCTCGGCAGAGTGGGAAACTTTTTGATTACGCTAGTATCTGATGAATGTGATGGTTTATAACACAACAGTCAAAATTCCTCCCCAGTGTTGAACGCCGTTCCCTTTAGCAACGCTATGCGACTCTTCTTGTCTATGGAAACCTCCACCAAAATAAAAACGCCTTGTATGCAAAGCAAGCCTAGCCGGCCCTTTTAAGTCTAGCCCGGGATATCTCGTTCGTTAGAATGTGAGAAAGTGGAAATAATTGTGACATATCACAGCGACATGATGGAAATGCAATGCACAATAATGAAACATTCCCCCACCAAAAAAAAGACCAAAAACTCTTATCCATGCTTCGCCAGACTTTGAAGGTTAACCAGCTCGGCGTATCGTCCATTCTTCTTCATCAACTCAGAGTGAGTGCCTTCCTCGATAATTCGGCCTTGATCAAAGACGTAGATGATGTCGGCCTTCTGAATGGTGCTGAGTCGATGGGCGACGGCGATTGTGGTGCGACCCTTGGCAGCCTTGTCAAGAGCGGCCTGGACAACGTGCTCTGACTCGGAATCAAGAGCGGACGTAGCCTCGTCAAGGAGAAGGATCTTTGGATCACGGATGAGAGCACGAGCAATAGCAATACGTTGCTTCTGACCGCCAGAAAGAAGAGTGCCTTTGCTGCCGACGACAGTATTGAAACCTTCGGGCAGTGAAACTATGAAATCGTAGATGTTTGCTTCGCGGCAAGCAAACTCGATCGCCTCGTCTGGGACAACTTCCTTTGCGCTACCGAGGAGAATATTCTCCTTGATAGTACCCTGGTACAGAGTTGGTTCTTGGCTGACGAGGGCAATGTGAGAACGGTAGTCATTAATGTTTAGGGAGCTAACCTCCTTGCCATCGATGAAGACACCGCCAAAGAGAGGGTCATAGAATCGTTCGAGGAGGGCGATGGTTGTGCTCTTACCGCAACCAGAGGCACCGACTAAGGCGATGTACTGGCCGGGGTGAACGGTAAGGTTGAGGCCGCGCAAGACGGGAACATCAGGGCGAGTTGGATACCGGAAGTGTACATTTCGAAATTCAAGAGTTCCGTCAACCTGGGGAAGCCTCTCGCCCTCTTCGGACCAAGAGTCAATAGTGGGTTTGCGATCAAAAAGTGTCTTTAGTTCGCCAGCAGCATGGTGAGCCTTGCCCATATCGGGAGCGAAGGAGAAAATGGTACCAGCGGACTGGGCTCCGAAGATGACGGCCATGAAACATAAGAAGAACTGAAACTGGTCATATTCACCTTTGCCGATAAGGGTACCACCATACCAGAAACCAAGGGCAAAGCAAAGGAAAAGTAGAGACTGAGAAGCGGCATAGAGTGCGCTGGACTTTAGAACGGACATTAGACTGCGGCGCTGCTGCTCAACCAACGAATCATGATACTGCTTCAAAACATCATGCTCGCGGGTAAGGGCAGCAACAGTACGGATAGCAGAGATAGCTTCGGACGCGAAGGTGGCTGACGATGAATACGCAGCCTTTGATCGTCTCTGGAAGTGAGCAAGCATCCAGAATCGGAAGAAGCCACAGCCGAGAAGAATTGGCATGGTAGCGATGCAGACGAGGGACAATTTCCAGCCGATTGCAAGGCCTACAGCACAAGCAGCAATCAGAGTGGTGGACATCATGAGCAAGGTACCAAGAGTAACGCCACTAAGACCTGCGACGTGAGTTGTCTCCGTGGACAAGAAAGATGTGAGGGCGCCGGCTGTATTTTCGTCCTTGTCGAAGAAGGCGACATCCTGTCGGAGCATGGCTCTAAAAGCCTTGTCACGGACGCGGCGAACGAGGCGCTCAGAGCACATTGCGAAAGCAATTCCCTGGGCAGAGAAGGCCAAGAACTGTACAAAGGCGAGCATCAAGTACATAGCACTCCAAAAGTCCGAGTCCTTCTTGATCTGGTCGCGGTTGGCAGGAGTGACGGGTTGCGAAAGGATGACGATCTGCTTGGCGAAGAAGACTGCCGAGGTAGGGTTACCGCCGCCGCAGATGGCAGCAAATACCAAGCCGAAGAGCATAAGGTGCCATTCTGGAGCATTGAAAGAAGTAATGAGCTTCAACAAGGTCCAGAGGCCATACCTCTTCTCGCCTTCAGGCTTGTTCTTCTGGAGGGCAATGCTGGATACAGATTTCCGGGTAGAAGAGCGATGCAGCTTGGCAGCAATATCATCATCAGGATCCACTTCCTTGTTTGTCGTCATCTTTCGAATAAGCTCCTCCTGGTGCTCATTGATATCCTCCTCTTTCTCGGCAGTCAAATCCTCCGCGTCGGCAATATTCTGGGCCGATACGAGCTTGAAGTATGCGCCCTTCTTCTCAAGAAGTTCGTCATGGGTGCCCTGTTCTATAATGCGGCCTGAAGTCATGACGACAATGTTATGAGCATCCTTAATAGTCGATAAACGATGGGCAATAGTGATGGTTGTTCGACCAGCAGCAGCAACCTCCAGAGCGGCTTGAACAACGCCTTCTGACTTGGTGTCGAGAGCAGATGTGGCCTCGTCAAGAAGCAAAACTGAAGGAAGTTAGCATTGGCTATGATGTTTAAAAAAAACAGGGATGACTGAAGAGATTACTAACTCTTTGGGTCGGAGACAACAGCTCGAGCAATAGCAATACGCTGTTTCTGTCCCCCCGACAAGAGAAAGCCGCGCTCACCCACATTGGTCTCATAACCTTCAGGGAGAGCAGAGATGAAATCATGAGCATTGGCCTTGATGGCAGCCTGAATAACCATTTCCCTTTGTTTCTCTTCTCCCTCATGTTCGTACTGAGTTCCAATAAGGCCATGGCTAATATTTTTGAAAATGGTAGTGCCAAAAAGGGTTGGCTCTTGGCTCACAAGAGCCATTTGCTGGCGGAGCCATCGGAGGTTAAGCTTGCTGATATCCTGACCGTCGAGGTAGACAGCACCTTGAACTGGATCATAGAATCGTTCGACTAGGCCGACAATGGTACTCTTACCAGAACCAGAAGCACCAACAAGAGCCGTTGTCTTTCCAGCGGGAATCTCAAGAGACACACCATCCATAACCACGACCTCAGGGCGCGAAGGGTAAATATGCTTGATATTCTCAAGGAGAATATTTCCTTGTAGGTTCTCAATCTTGTTACCCTTGTCGTCGCTGGGGTCCAGAGGGGAGACCCGGTCAATGGTGTTGAAGATCTTGGCGGCGGCGGCCACAGCAGTTGTAAAGGCCTGAATATTGGGGGCAACGTTTCCAAGGTTAAAAGCACCGATCATGACGGACATCATGATGATTAAAATCTTGTTAAGGGGGATGATACCATCCACAAGGAACTGGCTGCCTTGCCAAAACGCGAGACCATAGTTCAGGAAAAGAATAAGCATCATTCCAGCAACCATTACAGCCATGGAGCTCTTGACGCGGAATCCAAAATATTCGGCCTTGGCAAGGTGCTTGTCATATTGCTTGGCGAGGCGGTCCTGGGTACCAAAGGCAATGGCATTACGGATAGAGCTGACAACTTCGTCGGCGAGACTGCCACCCTGAGCATAAGCTTCAAGAGAATTTTTGTTGTGCTTCAGCATGAAACTCGAACCAATACCAATGTTCAGCAAAAGAGCGAAGACGGTGGAGGAGAGAATGAGCGTCAGCTTCCAATAGTTGACGAATCCTATGACGAAAGCGGTGATGAATGTCGCTATAGCTGCCAGAGTCAAAGATACTTTCTCAGAGATACCCTCCTGAATAAGGTTGGTGTCGGCAGTAATGCGAGTGGTCACCTCGCCGGCACCGAGCTTGTCAAAAAATCCAATATTCTGGCGCATGCAGCTCTCAAGATAATGCTCGCGAATCTTGGCGCTGATGTGCTCACCGGTATATATGAAGCCCACAGTACAAATGTAGGTGACAACAAATTCACCGATTGCCAAATACACAAAATAAAGAACGTATTTGCTCAATTCGTCGACAAAGGAGTTGTAGCTCATCTGACCGGCCGAGTAGAAGTAGTTTTGAAATGTGCGCTGAAGGTTGCCAAAGATGACGGTCATCAGAGGTAAGGCAGCACCGGAGGCAATGGCGCAAATAGAAGATATGGCTATGATGATGAGATCATTGCGAGAGGCATAGCGGTAAAGAACAGCAACACCTTGCTTCAGTTCAGGCGTAACGAGTTGGCGTCTCAGAACTTCGGCTTCGTCTGGTGGCAGATGACGGAACATCTCATCGGGGTCTGTGGCCTTGGGAGGAGCAGCAACCACTTTGGAGTCGGCCTTGGTGAGAGCTCGCTTCAGATCTGCCTTTTCATTCTGAGGAGTTCCCTTGCCATCAAGGGAATCCCGGGCGCGACTGCTGGACCGTTCTGAGTCGAATTGCGAAGGCAAAGTGCCCTTTTCCGCGGGTTGGCTAGCCATGATGGCTACACTGGCGCGCCGTTGCGCAGAAAAAACGGCCGCCTAGTGCGAATCTAGAGTTTGGTTTGGTGTTTCGGCAGCAGGATATCGACACCTTGGTTTTGGGATGGTAGGAAGACGCCCTCGACGCGAAATAGGCTGTTCTGCGACCTGGCATATGAGAATCGAGGCTATTTGGAAAGAACTCGATCTAAAACTGATGATGCGAGTGGTGAATATGGACGTCAGTAAGAGGTGCGTTGACTACTAAGTAGTAGTTCGCACGTAGCCTGACCGCAACACGGAGTAGCAGATTCGAGATTCGAGATTCGAAGTCTCCTTTGGGAAAGACCAATGCTACGGAGCCAGAGTCTATGGAAGGAGCTCTGCAAAAAAGGACTTTGGGAGACCGACCACACCTGCCTGCCCACTTGCAGTCAAGGAGGACAGGAGGGCATTCGGCTAGTTTTGTAGTTCTTTGATTGACCAGGTAAGCTTCTCCTTTCAGGCGACCAGAGCGGACTTCAAACCCGAGTCTACGTACTTAAGTAACTAGCGACTGTTGGCTGGTTGCGCCAGAACGTCAACGTCCCTGCTCAGAGTTGTGCTTATGAACAACGGGCACCGGGAATGACAACGCCCGACCCAGGCTGCGATGCAAGCTAACTGGGCCCACTGCCTGGGTCGGGGCACAAACAGCGCCAGCACAACGAACAGCGAGGCATCGAATTAACGAGGAGGCTTGGGAAATGATGGGGCCGCTCTGCCTTGCTCGTCTCGCTGACGCCGGCGTGTGCTGAGCAAGGGTTCAATGTTCTGAACCACAAAAGGTGAAGGGAAGGGGCTTTACGCCGGGACAGTCACCTACAATTCAACTTGACCCTTAGGCCCACAGATCCACATACTCCAGCGGTTTGTCGGCCCACGATTTCAATCTCAGCTACGGAGTACGGATTACGGAGTACTACGAGTGGGTGTGGCGACAGGGGCAACATGGTCGGAGCCGTCGTACCCCATGACGGAGCCGGACGTGCTGCTAGGAAGCCCGTGGTTGAGTCACGACTGGGGCGTGCAAGATGGCAGTACAATATTCCTGCATTTGGATGATGCCGTTGATGTTTGGGTAAGCCCTCGAGATTGGACGAAAGCAAAAATGGACATCAAGATGACTCATGTGTGTGAAAACAGTACGGCAAGGGGCATGTGTTGAAGAGCTATTCGTTTCATAAACGATGTCATGGCTCAGTGCGCAACCGTGCCTTTCACTTGATACCGGGCGGCGTTGTGTGTGCAAAGTGAAAAAAGTCGAGATGGATGCTCAATTGCCCCCTGTTGCCTGATTCATCACCGTCGCGGGCGCCTGCCTCCTTTCGGCGGCGCTCCACCTTTGCAGTCTGGGATACATCAGGGCCTCACTTGCGTCTGTATTTTTAGACTCGACATGGCACAGATGGGCGGGCTTGGCAAAAAAAAAAGGTCATGTTGGAGAATTATCCGCCAGGGACTTGAGATGCGCGAAATATAGCCCATCAGAACGTACAGAGTACCCAGGCGAGAAATATATTAAATGTTGCGAATTCACAATATACAATATGTCAATTGGTACAAATTCCAGGGTGGATATAGAATCAATTGGCCAGCAACCCGAAAGCGATTGACAACCAAAGTACAGCAGGGTCTGGAGGGTTTGCATGCTTGCATACGCGGCAGTAAGCGTTCCGGTGCAGGTCACATCAGCCAGCCTGGACATCCAGTCAATCGGTCTGGTCGATGTCTAGTGTGTGGCTGTTAAATCCGGGTGAAAGCGTTGAACTGTGAGGATTTGATATCAACAGACTAGATGTTTCGGGGTCTTGGAATAGTCCGAGCCCGCGGTGGCCCACTGGCCTTTCAATGTTGCCAGCACAGGATCGGCCAGTGGAAGCCGCGACGAGGCTGATGCAGGGCTAAACGAGCTAGGACCGTACGGTACGTATTCTCTCGGTCCCCGCCGCTGGCTAATGAGAAACGAGATGTCGGTCGCCCTTGTCACTTCTGCTTGGCCGTCAGTCACTGGATACACCACACACCTACTCCGGTAGGTAGGTACTTCTGCAGCTGCCTACCTAACTTAAGTAGGGTAGGAGGCAGAAAGGGTTTCCATCCCTGGAGCAGGCATCAATTCCCACATATGATCTCCAAGTCTGGTCTAAAGATCGGGAGCGTGTCTTGACGGCAGGCCGCTGAATCTTGAAGCACAACACCAGAGGCATATGCGGAGACTGGAATTGGTATCTGCCTACCTTGATCACGACGTTTCACCAACACTGGGAATTGTGTAGGAGTCCAGAGAGGCTGATGGCATGAGTGACTATGATTCGCAATCACCCGTCACACAGGAGCATGCAAGAGAACATAGGCAAGTAAGAGCAACATTGAATGCTTGCCTATGAAAGACTCAGCGTTCTCCACGACTCAAGCTTGGTGCAATCCAATATCCTGCTGTTGCCTCACACCAACTCCTGCGGCAAATGACAGGCTAGATCAACAACCGTCTGGTCCATGTCAATTGTCAATCCCGTTCCATGACTTGGAATCCCGTCTGCCCCACCATGCCAACCTGGCCAGCAAAGTTATGACTGGTACTAGGATCCGAGATGGCCTGCCGGGGCCGGGAGGCTGAATTGTGAAAACTGGCGTCTGGAATGCCATGCTCGATGAATGTTCTCGCATTCTACTTCAGGATGCGAGAACGTGGCCAAGGCCAACTTCGGCTGTCGCACCCGAAGAGGGGGGCAAGCATGTCGTGCAAACGTGAATCACGTTTTAAGGCATCCCTCAATACAATACTTCTGCTTACGTCGTCTACTTGGGGCTGACATGGAGTATACGCCCACCGCCATATCCCTACTACCTACTTCAATTCGTAACGTTCAGAATTGCAGCGCCAGGCAAACGCAGATTAGCAGACCGACGGGTTCCTCGGTCTTGTCCGGGACCCGAGTTCCCTACAACAAGTTTGGCTTTCCGGTGCGCATCAGAATCATCTTGACAGTCTTGAGGACTGACAGGGTAGCGGCTGTAATTGGTGACGTAGACGTATACGTCGACGTTTTAGCCGTATTGGAATATTGGTGGTTGATGGGCTGCCATGTCGTACGTACTTGTTACTCAGTATTTATGGACCCTTGGAGTACGATCGCACTTGCCACATCATGCTAGCAGCTTCCGCTGCAGCCACCTGTGGCTGCCCGCCCATGGAGGGGTAGCTCCGGTTCGGGGCACCCAATCAGGCCATTCCCCGCGACCTCAGGCGTCAAGCTTGCCCGTTTTACGCTGCGTCACTCAGCACTTGCCACACGAACCTCAATCGAATCACTTTGGACATCGTGTCCTCTCCAGCAATTCAGAAGTTTGCCTCTAAACCATCTAACTTGTCACATTCGCCATTACACATAAAAGACTTCTCCTACATCCAACCTTGCCTACTGCGCACATGGCATCCCAATGAATCCCGTGTCCGCGAGACATGCAAACTCCACACTGACCAAGTTCTAACAAAACCACGTCCACCAACGGAGCCCGTCAAGAATCGAATATCAAAAACACACTCACACACGCAAAATGCACATCCACCACCTCATAACCTTCCTCGCCCTCCCAATCCTCGCCGCTGCCGCCAGGCCCAAAAATGCCATCCTCCTCTCGCAGGTCCAGTCCCTCACACTCCGCGGCAACGGCGCCAAAACCACCAACCGCCGCGTCTCGGCCATCCCACAGCTAAAATGCACCTCCTCAAGAGAGCTATGCTCCCTCTACAGCATCGATACCATGCGCTGCACGAATCAGGGGTCTTCGTATGGCGGTGAAGATATTGAATGGAGCTGTACGGCTACGTTGCCCGAGGAGCTGAAACTCGGCAGTACGGACGTCATTTGCGAGGGGTACGCGAGTGCCGACGACCCTTATGTGTTGAAGGGCTCATGCGGCGTCGAGTACAGCTTGCTGTTGACGAGCAAGGGCCAGGAGCGGTATCCGCACATCGCGAACCCGTATGGCGGGTATTTCAGTGATGGGAGGGGCGGCACGGATCTGAGTGCGTGGTTGTTCACAGTCGTGTTTGTTGCTGTGCTGGGGTGGATTGTGTACTCGGCTTGTGTTGCCGGCAATGGGGGCAGACAGGCACGGGGGAATACTGGACGGCGATGGGGAGGCGGCGGAGGCGGCGGCGGCGGTGGTGGCTTTGGCGGAGGAGGATGGGGACCCGGGAACGATCCTCCACCACCGTATCCTGGGACGAAACCGTCGAGTTCAGGGTCTGCTTGGGGTCCCGGATTTTGGAGTGGTTTGGCGGGAGGTGCTGCGGCGGGATACCTGGCGGGGAATAGGAATAGGAATGATGAGAGGAGAGGGTATGATCGTGGATGGGGCAGCAATACTTGGGGTTCTGGGCCGGCCAGTCCTCGCGCGTCGCCGGCCGCGTCTTGGGGATCATCCTCGAGCAGCGGGAGTTCATCGAGGCATGAGAGCACTGGGTTCGGATCTACTCGACGTAGATAGATTGAACAAGTCGACAAGAGACAAACTGATGTGTCATATAGAGGATGCTTGTTATGTCAACCCAGACTTGACAAAAGCAGCGTGAATATACCTACAACCTTATGTATCCAATCACCCGGCATTACGAAGGCGTTTAGATATCTGTTCAACAATGTTGAAAAGTTTATTCAAGTATCCAATGTAGCCCCAAACTCCGCCACCCTTCCCGGACTCCGACGATCCTTAGATCTATAATAATACTTGCTACCATGTACACAGTCGAAGTTCAAACCCCACTACCACCTCTGCTCCTAGTAGTACAATATCCAAACAATGACATGTCGTCGGTATGTGCCGGACTTAACATGACTTAGTAAAACGCCTCGACCTTTCGCGAGCCTTCGTATCGAGCGAGAGACATCATGAATAGCTATCATCGCTGCCCATTACCCACTTCTAATAGCAATCGATATACATGGCTGCATCATTCCAAGCTGAATGTT